AATCCATCAAAGCCCATAGTTCTGGGAAAGTCTCTAAATATACTAACCTTGCTTTTGGCTTTGGCAATTCCACTTCTTGCTAACTGTTCTTGTTACCCAAAGTATGTTGTTTTAGGGTTACAATTGCTGTGGTGAAACCACAGCATTACCAAAGCAACTTTGAGAGGAAAGATTTTTTTGTTCACAATTCAATTCCATACAATAGTTTATTATCAAAACCAGTAAGGGCAGGAACCTGGAGGCAGGAGCTGATGTCGAGGCCATGGAGGGTGCTGTTTACTGACTTTGTACCATGGCTTGCTCAGCCTGCTTTCTTATAGAACCCAGGACTGCCACCAGCTCAAGGATGGTACCACCTACAATGGGCAGGGCCCTTTCCCATCGATCACTAATTAAGAAGATGCCTTATAGCCAGATCTTATGCAGGCATGTTCTCATTGAGGCTCTCTCCTCTCTGATGACTTTAACTTGTGTGAACTTGACATAAAACTAGCCAGTACATTTGTCGGCTCAGAATATGTTTTGTGCTTAAAAGCGCACCCTGAGAAAGGCTTGGAGCTACAGTGGGATCCTGAATGTAAGTACCAGCACTTACTTACCAAGCCAGTGTCTCCTGATATGGTGGGTGAGAACTAAAAACCAGTTTGGGATCGAGGGGTCTTAGCAGGACTGAAGCTGAATTTTTTTGCAAGCAATCAGACTTTTTATACCTTATCAGTAACAGAATACAATGGAGGTTGCCAGGACCAATACAACTGTAGTTGCCAAGATACTATGATGTTTACAGCTATACAGGGTATACAAGATTAATGTCTAAGATTAATAATCCTGTCAAACCTCCACATGCTTTGCTGGCTCTAGGGAACACAGAGAATCATGGGCAGCCTGAATACTTTACTGCCTAAGGGAGTGCCTCTGTCTCTCAGGAACTGAAAGGCTCACAGTGCCCCAGGAGCCATGGATTCTAATCAGAAAATCTGTGACACATGCCTCTCAAGGCAGCTAGAGCAAGGACTCCTTGTACCTGAACACCCAGTGAAGTCACTGGCCTGCTGACTTAGACTTTCTGTGAAGTTTCAACTCAAAGGAAAGCCGTCTTCTTTGGTGGATTCCCCACAATAATACTATAAAACTTTTTGAAGTATGACTTGTAGACCTCAGTGAACTGCTCATTGCCAGAGCCTGTCCTTAGAGACTGGTTTTCTAAGGCTAACTAGAGCCTAGGAACCTACATTTTCAACTGCACAGGTAAGTCTGATACATACAATGTGAGAATATCTCCTTAGAGCAGGAGTTGATGCATTACACACAGCAGACTACATCTGGCCTGTTGTCTGCTGTGTGTGTGATAGATGCACTGAGTGTGTACCCCTGAACACACAGTGGGGGATGGAGGAATAGGTTGAACATCTTTTATCACTCTCCACCTTGTTTTCTGAGACAGGATCTCTCACTCAAGCTTCTAGAGATCTACCCTCCTCGGCTCCCCAATCCTGGGTTTACAGGCAGGCACTTATGTCTATTGCTTGCCTTTTAGTGGTTCTTGGGATTTGAACGCAGGTCCTATTCTTTCCCATCAAGCACTTTTACCCACCTAGCTGTCTCCTCAGCTCCTACTTTCTGGTTTTGTAAATAAAAATTTACTGGAATGAAGCAATACTCAGTTATTCATTGTTGGGCTGTAGTGTGTGTGGGCATGGGCCCTGTTTCTGTGCCCTCCCCCCAAGGGGCTAGGACTGGTGATCAGAGAGGCAGCGGCACGGGAATTTGACTGTTTTCACTCACACTGGCACACTCATGTCGGGCTGTGAGAAGCCAGAGGACTCTACTCTGTGTGTGAGACAACACAGTCTGGGGCCCCAGGTGGGGGATGGTCAGAGTTGTTGATTTGGGGGTCCCCAGGCCAGGAGGCATCTGGGAACTGACTGGATCTCAGGCCCTTGGGCTCTCAGGTGCTGCTGAGAGGCTGGGGAAGAGTCAAGGGTGGGGGGCATACAGGCTGGATCAACCAGCAGCCAAAGTGTGGCTGGGGGGAAGCTCTGGCTGCATCCCATGAGATTAGATGGTGGCTCAGTAGTTGAAGACCTTCTCCCTGGTTCCCCAGGGTGGGTCCCAGAGAAGAGAGGTAGTCCATGGTCACAGGCTATGGACTTAAGACATTTATGGTCATGGTGGAAAGTGGATGAAGCTATACCTGGTATTCTCAGGGTGGGCCTGAGGTTAAACACCTTTTGCACTGAGGAGGGTCTGGGAAGGCTTGCTTAATTGGCTACACTCTTTGGCCTTTAGATATCTCATTAATATGGAGATCTGTCTTGAGGCTCTGGGGCCTGTAGTCATGCCCTCTACCTGTGTAGGGGCTAGTAGGAGAGTTGTCTTACATGACCACTGGCCACAGTCCTCTTTGAGAGGGGCTGTAGCTATGTGAAAGGAACCCAGGGCCCAGGAGCAAGGCCCAGGTCTCTGGGGTTCAAAGCCTGCTTGACCAGGTACCTAGTTGCCTCTCATAGTCCATCACCCCACAATCATAGCTGTCTTCACACTGCAAGGCAGAGTTGAATATCAGTATAGTATACAACATCTGACCCGTTAGGTCTAAAATATTTGCTTGCTGGCCTTCTGTTGACACAATTTGCTGATCCCTGATCTAAAGCAAAGTTTAAGATTTAAACTCTACTATAATGCTGACAATTTCTGTAAAATAGTAATAGATAGGACTTAGGTTTAAGTATACTAAAGCCTTTCACTTTAAAAAATTATATTTATTTATAGAGAGTGGGCACATACCATGGTACACAAGTTGAAGTCAGAGGACAACTTGTGCAGGTGTGAGTTCTCTCCTACTATGTGACTTCCAGGGATTCAACTCAGGTGGTCCTGCTTGGAGGTGAGGCCAGCACCTCTACCTCACACTTAACTCCTTTAACACAGCTAAGTTTTGGAGAGTTGTTTCTTATACACTCCATACTTCCTCAGGAGTCTCTAGCCAGGCAGAAATCTCTAACTCCTGAGCAGTTGATAGACTGTATTTTACCACTCTTACAAGCAGGAGCGATAGGAAGCAAAGCTTAAGGTTATTGTGATCTGTGTATCTCACTGTTTCCTTAATAATCTAGCAAATTAGAAGGCAGTAATCAAGTTTCCAAAAAGCACGCTCCCCTGAATGTTAAAAAGTAAAGCACTGGTGACTTTTAGCTGAAGCTGAGCAAGGCTGACCACTTCCCCTCACTTGGTCAGCCATCTGCAGAGTAATGAGTACATACCTGCTGCTGCTGGAACAGTTTCACTTTATAAGCCTATGCTGATTTCCTGTACCCTAGACAAATCACAATACGCTAGTAATACAGAAATGAGATTCTTGTTGCTCTGTAGATGTTAGTGTGTTTGCTAATATTTAAGACAGTTAATGTGCTTCTTTGTCCCTTGCATTACTACAAATTCAACATGGCGAACTTTATGGTATTTTTATCCCTTAGACAGAAATCCTTCTGACTGCCTGATTTTAACTATTTGGTTTCACCATAAGTTAGTGATGTGGTATTGGACAAATGACCTAATTCCTCTGTGCTTTAGTTTCCACTTCTTTAAAAGAAATTATTTAGTAGCCACAGGGCTGCTGAAAAAAAAATAAATGAAACAGTATACTTTTGGTAGAACCTAAGTTGTTAGGCATGGCAGAAGCTGACACCTCCTGACTCCCTCCAACCCCTGCTCATTTCTGTGTGCTGTTTATCTCCTAATCTCCCAGGCTGTCACCCAGACCACAAACCACAGCCTTTTAGTTTGTTTAGTTTTATCCTTTTCCTCTAAACATATTCATCTTATTAACCACTGTCATTTATTTCTTCCTTTTTGTCTCAGTGCTTGCTATATATTTCAATTGTTGTTGTTTGTTTGTTTGTTTTTCCAGACAAGATTTTTCTGTGTAGCCCTGGATGTTCTGGAGCTCACTCTGTGGATCAGGCTGGCTTTGAACTCACAGAGATCTGTCTGCCTCTTCCTCCACCACCACCACCACCACCACCACCACCACCACCACCACCACCTCCATTACCACTACCACCCAGCTCTAGAGGTGTCATGGACTCCTGGTGAAGTCTCCCTGTCCCTGGCTGATTTCTCTTCTCCAGCACTGTCCCATCCTATTCAAGCTTGTCATATCTATTGTCACTAGATTGAAAAAAAGTTTCTTTATCCATCGTTTCATTTCTATACACACACTTCTCTCTTTTTTCTTGATAGAGAATCTTTGTGGACAAGCTAGCTTCAAACTAAATCCTTCTACTTCCGTCTTCTAAGTGTTAAGATTATAATTTATTAAAAAAGATTACTTATATTTCTGTGTATTTACGTCTATATGTCATGTGTACTGTGAGTGCCCACAGAAGTCAGAAGAGAGCATTGGATTTCCTGGAGCTGAGGTTACAGGTGGTTGTGAGCCACCTAAGAGGATTCTGGGAACAGAACTCTGGCTCTTCCCTGGAAGAGAGCAACAAGTACTGTTAACTGCCCAGTTATCTCTCCATCATAATATAACCAGTCATTAAAGTTTAGCACTGATGTTTATGACACATTTGAGAAAAGTTATCAAAAAGAAGAACATTTACTCCTTTTAAAATATATCTGTAAGTATGTGTGTGACCACAAGTATACCACGACTCACCTGTGGAAGTCAGAGAGCAACTTGCCAGAACGAGTTCCCTCCTTCCACCCTGTTAATATTCTGTCTAAACTCCACCTCCACAGTTACCTGGCAACAGCCAGGTAGGCCTGCCCACTATAAAAGGGGCTCCTTGCCCACCTCCTCGCTCTCTTGCTCTCTTACTCTCTTACTCTCTTGCTCTCTTGCTCTCTGCCCTCTTGCCTCTAGCTTCTCTCTGTCCCCTCTCCCCTCCCCACTTCCCTTTCCCCTCTCTCCACGTGCTCATGGCTGGCCTCTACTCCTCTACTTCTCTGCTCTGTCTCTCCACTTCTCTCTCTTCTCTCTCTCTTCCCCTCTTTCTCCGCCATCTTCTCCCATTTCTCTCCCCCCAGCTTTGCCCTTTGCCCTGAATAACACCCCCCCCCACCACCACCACCCTGGAACTGTTTGGTCTGGCGTTGTTTGTTCTAAGCTGGCGCCGAAGTCTAACACTGTGGGTCCCAGGAATTGAATGCAGGTCATCAGATTTGGCTGCAAACATCTTTCCTCACTGAGCCACTACCCTCAAGCCAACATTTACTCTTTTTAAAAGAAATTGGAAAACACTTCCTAAAATCATTGTTTTGATTGCCATGCTCTTAAAATCCTCAAGTGAGACTTTGGAGCCTTTATAGCTACCTTCTAAGCTTTTTCCCTAGAATTTTGTCTTTTTATTCCTTTTGTGGTTCTTACTTCAGTTCTCTTAAGTCATAGCTATTCAGTGTGCTTATCATCCCTACCTGAAAGAATTCTTAACTTTGGTAGTTGTTGTTCAGTCCCTGGCCTCCCTCTGAATTCTTTTGCATGTCTAAGGACAGTGTGAATATTTATTAAGTGAAAAAGTGGTCGCGAGGAGACTTCCTGTTCCAGTTTCCTTTGACCCAAGCCTCACGAAGAATGCTTTCTCTTAAGAAAAGGGTAAATTGCTTCAACTTATCAGCTGACCTTTGCCTATTAGGATTCTGAAACCAAAGGCAAAGTGCGACTGTCTGCAGAGTAAGAAGGGGAGGATAACCAACTGAAAGTCTGCCGTAGTAACTGATGAGGTCTCAGAAAGTTGTAGAAACAAGAAACAGATGAAGGGTTTTTTTTCCACTATGGATGATGTGAAAATATGACAAGTCACACAAGCTTCACCTACAGGATTTTAGAAGCCTCTTCTGCATCTGTTTGTAAAAGGAGACAGTAGTCTGTTCTGGAGGTATAAGGACTTTATGTCTACTGTGGCCGTTTTGAGCTGGACTCTGAACGTTAGCAGAGACACAGTTCCCTTCACAACAGTACTCCTGCTGGTTGGGGCTCTCAGGGAGGAAGTTACAGTTTGCCTGGTTCCCAGGGCCTCCCTACAGGGAAGGTCCATCTGCTCCTGGCACAGATGAAATGCCTACCCAGAAGGTACAAGTATAGACTGTGCCAGGCAACAGAGCTGGGACACTGGTGCAGTATACTCATGTCAGAGTGGATTTCTCTCCACATAACAGAACACACTTTATCACTCAGACTTGTAGGTATACTTGAAACCACTGTTAAATACCGTGTTTCACAAATGCATAGAAGACAGTGCCCTTGCCTTTGATAAGCTAGAAGTACAGGATATGTTTTATATGTTCTCTTTGGAATAAACTCTCAAACTTAGGAATAAGAAAGATGAAGAAACTCGGAAAATGTATGTAGCTGAAATGTAATTATATTACAGGGCTTCAGATTCAGAAGACGGTGAGACGGTACAGGAAAGAGTTTTGAAGAAAAAGTAAGTAGGCGTAATGGCTTTATTTTTTTATTGGTGAAAACTGGGGGTTTGGGTAAAACCAGCAAAAGAAGTGGCAGAGGAATGGAAGAGCCTGTGGTGATGTGGGTGGGTAGTTTGGCTGCGGCTGGCTGATGAGGACGGCAGTTGATACTCACAAGCTAAGCAAATTTATTTCCACTTGTTCCTATAGTTTATTAATTATTTTCATTTCTTAAAAAAGGTGAACGTGTGTGTGTGTGTGTGTGTGTGTGTGTGTGTGTGTGTGTGTAATGTACTCCCTAATCTCCATGACACTGAAGTTTCCCTTTAAACTGGCAGATTTCTCTCTTGGAACAGGTGACTGTGAGGAAAGTTAACTGTGTTGTCTTCTTCCTTTGAATATGAGAGACAGGGGGCAGTGGTGAGCTGGGACTTTTTTCTTTCTTAGGTGCTCAGTCCTGACGGTTTTTTTTTCCCCATGGTGCTTATGAGTCTTTTGTTGCTTGAAATTGCTTTAATCACTTAGGGTTTATGCCACACTGGTCTAAATATTCTGTGGCAAATTCATAAACTCGTTTAAATACTTGCTGACCTTTTCTCTTATGTGTGACCTTTGCTGCCTTCTCCAGCTCTTAATTTTCCTACAAAATAGAAAGGAATCAACATTGCTTTCATCCAGTAGCACGATGCCCTGTTGTGGCTCAGTATCTATAAAAGTGTGGAAATTAGGTAGGTTTGTTATAAACAAGTTTTCTGTTTTCTCTTTCCGTTTGATTTCTGCTTGCTCAAGTGGTCTTCTCAGGAAATGGCTTGCAGCTAAGCAGGGGTTTGAGGTTTCATTTTCTCACAATATTTCTATGTCTTTAGATTTTACAGGAGAGCAAACTTTTTGAGAATTGATGTTTATTTTTTAAAAAAATCCTGTACTTCTACAACTGATCATAGGATGTCCAGTCCCAGTGGATACATCTACAACACAACTGTCGCACCCAAGGCTTGGGGGACACTAATGCAAGAGGGGACATAAAGACTGTGAGAGCCAGAGGACCAGGAAGTCCACTGTGAGACTGTGTCTCCTAGAAACAACAGGGAAGCTGCACCCGTGATCCTTCAACAATATGGCTGCCCAGACGAGACCTGGACAATGGCAACACCAACAGACACACTAACATGGAAAAGTGACATCACATGGGCCCTATCCTAGACAAGAACTACAGGCAACAGGGAGTGAGGAGAGCTTAGGCAGTAGTCTTCCCCTAAGCCCCGAATTGGTTATTCTGTACCAAGTGTGCAGCTCTGAAATCATACAAGCAACACTAAATGGACCCGGTCAGTTGTATTTATATATTTGTTGTACATGTGTGTGTGTGCAGCAATAACAGTCAGTTGTATTTATATATTTGTGTGTACATGTGTGTGTGTGCAACAGTAACACAGAGGACAGGAATCTGAGAGTGAGTGGCAGGGTTAGAGTAAGGAAAGAGACTGGGGGGGTGATATAATTATATTTTAACTTAAAAATTATGCAGTTCTAATTACTTACAAATATTTAGGTTTTAGGTAAAAGATATAACACTATCTAAGAAAGTTTTTCTTTCTTAAAAAAATTCTTTTTAATTATATGTCTGTATCTGTCTGTGTCTGTGTTTGTGTGTCTATGTCAGTGTCCGTGTCTGTGTTTGTATAAGTGAGTGAAGGTACCCATAGAGGCCAGAGGCTTCAGATCCCCCTGGGGCTGGAGTTACAGGCAGTTGTGAGCCAATTGATGTGAGTGCTGGGAACTGAACTCTGCTAACTGCTATGCCATCTCTCTAGTCCGGTTTTATCTTATGTATTTATAGCTCATTCTCTGGGAAGAGTTGAAAAAGTTAGTAAAATAAACTCTGTCTTTGAGGAAAGACCTTTATATCTCAAGTATTCCTGAGCAAAAAGAATCATTCTGGAGGGTCAGCCGAGATACTAAACTAAACAAAGCAAAACATGTGGTACTGGCACACAAACAGACACACAAACTAATGGAGTAAAATAGAGGCTCTAGGCATAATCCCAAACAGCAATAGCCACCTGAGTGTTTACAAAGATACCAATACATGCAGATTCACAATTAATGCTAGGAAAATTGAATGCCTACTTGTAGACAAATGATACCAGATCCTTATCTCTGACCTGATACAAAAATCAGCTTCAAAGGAGTCAAAGACCTTGTATTATATGAGGCGTTCCAAACTCAGAAAGACAAATAGCATGTGTTCTCTCTCATATGTGGGTTTTAACTTTTAACTCTAAGACTTATTTATTTATTTATTTTTATGTATATAAGTACACTGTAGCTGCTTCAGACACATGAGAAGAGGGCATTGGATGGATCCCATTACAGATGGCTATGAGCTACCATGTGGTTGCTGGGAATTGAACTCAGAACCTCTAGAAGAACAGTCAGTGCTCTTAATTGCTGAGCCATCTCTCCAGCTCCCAGCTTTTACCTCTAATATTTATATTTATGTAGCATGTGAAGAGAACTCAGGTACCTAGACAGGGGCACTGAGAAGGGAGAAAAGATAGAATACGTAAGACCTGAAACTCTAAAATGATCAGATTAAAAAAATAGGAAAAACACTTCAAGATATAGGCATTGGAGGCTAGTGAGACAGCATTGTGGTAAAGGTGCTTTCCCACATAACCTGGTGACCTGAGTTTGATCCCAAGAGAAGACTGAGTCCATAAAAGGTGTCCTCTAGCCTTCACATACCTAATGTGGTATTCATATGCGTACACACAAACACACATATGCAATAATAATAATATATTCAAAGTTTTAGAAAGATATATGCATAGGTAAAGTATTTCTAAACAGGACTCCAGTTTTCCAGGAAATAAAGCTAACAACGAATAAACAAGACATCTCGAGATTAAAAACTTCTGTACAGCAAAGGAAATAGTTAATTGAGTGAAGAGACAAACTACAGAATGGGGTGAAATCTTTATCAACCATATATCTGACAGAAAATATAAAATCTACACGATACAAAGAACTCAAAACACTAAACAACAATGAAACAATAACCCAGTCAAAAATGAACTAAGGAACTGAACAGAGTGTTCTCAAAAGACATACAAGTGGACAATAAACATTTAAAAATATGTTCAACATCCTTAGGCATCAAGAAAAGTGTAAAGTAAAACCGCTTTGCAGTTCTGTCTCACCCCAGTTCGAATGTCTGTAGTCCAGAGAACAGCTGCTGGCAAGGATGTGGGGAAGAGAAAGGTGCCGACTGTTGGTTGGCATGTGAACTGGTACAGCCGTTGTGGAAATCAGTGTAGAAGTTTTTCAAAATATTAAAAAAAAGAACTGGTTTGTGACCCAGCTATATACTGCTCCCAGTCATATGCCTAGAAGACTGCATATCTTGCCACACAGACATTTGCACATCTGTGTTTAATGCGGCTGTATCCATAATAGCAAGGAAATGAGACCACCCTAGATGCTATCAGCTGATGAATGGGTAATGAAAACATAGCACATCTACACATGGTGTTTTATTCAGCTGTAAAGAAAAACGAAATGCTGTCATTTGCAGGAAAATGAGACTGGGAAGTACTGTATCAAGTGAGGTAATTTAGACTCAGAAAGACAAATATCGAATGTTCTTATATGTGGATGCCAGCTTTTAATTATTACTTATATGGGACTGAGTGTTTAGAGTCCAGGAGTTTAGACAGAGACCATGAAAGGGTGAAAAGATTCTCTGAGATGTAGGAAGGAGCAGAATGCATGAAGTGGGCGTGGCACCACTTAAGCAGGGCTTGGGAAGGGCAGGGAGGTGGGGGGAGGGAGAAGAGAAGAGAACCAACAGAAAGTGACAGAATATGTACGTACTAGGGAGGTGGCTCAGCAGCAGGAGACTCAGGTTCAATTTCCTCTACCCATCTGTAATTCTTGTTTGTTTGTTTGATTGTTTGGGGACAGAGTTTCACTACGTGTCCCTTGCTGTCATAGAACTCACTATGTAGACCAGGCTGACCTTCAACTCACAGAGATTTGTCTGCCTCTACCTAGGATTAAAGGCATGTATCACCACTGCCCAGCCAATCTATAATTCCTGTTTCAGGAAATCCAAAGCAATCTCAGGTTTCTCTGTGTACCAGGTATGCACATGGTTTACATACAGACATATACATATAGGCAAAACATCCATTTACACAAGATTAAATAAAATACCTAAACACCAACAAAATTCTTTGTTTTTATTTTTTAACTTTTTTTTTTGAGACAGAATTTTACTATGTAGACCAGACTGGCCTTAAAACTCATAGAAATCTGCCTGCCTCTGTCTCCTGAGTGCCGGTATTTAAAGGCATCTTTTACCATATTTCAAAAATAGGCATTTTTGAAAACCAGCAATGTATGAAAAAAGCCATGTAAAAACAAAAAATAAGATAAAATCATTTGAACAGATATGACTACCTAGGTAATTAAAGCTGTACCCCCAAACTATAGTGTTAGAGATAGGAGTAGCCTACCTCTGTTGTTAGATAGGGAGGCCTCTGACCCTCACTCTACACACACACACACACACACACACACACACACACACACACACACACTACAAGCAATTGTCAATGTTCCTGGGTTTCCATCAGAACTAAGACCTTGCTGCCAAAGGTGACATATGCTTTGGTTGCAAGACATACTGAAATCAGGCTGGTGTTAAGAAGCTTCCTTCCTGGTATAACTGGCGCTCTGCAGGCTGCTGGGGGAGGTTTGTGACCAACATTATTATTTAGCTGTGGACATTGTATGCAATAATACCTACTGGCCTGGCAATATGAGCCCTGGTGCAATGGCAGCAGGTCTCTTAAGTGGGTAACCAGCAGCGTTCTCATTGGATTTGATGTCCTTGCTATATATATGGTACTATAAATCTGGTTAAATTCTCTGGCTAGGGGAAAAGAAAAACAAAACAAAACAACAACAACCAAAACCTCTGGCTGGGAGATCAGAGGCCTTGTAGGGCACCTACTGCTGTCGTTTTGCTAAATGGATGTGATGTGCCTGTCTAACGGCCTTCTAGATGCCTTGTTCTCTATAGAGTAGTGGTGCTTTTCTTTTTGGTCAGAGAACGTTCTTTCTGCAGTGGTGTGCAGTGACTGTAGAGACAGCTGGTCAGAGTTCTGAGAATAAATGACCGGTGAGTGCTCAGGAGTAAATGGGACATCTACACCACCTCTTATCACCCCAAAACTTGGGGAGCACCCTCAGAGAAAGGACAGAGAGAGTATAAAGCCAGGTGAAGGTGGCTGAAGAGGTGGGAATGCTAATCTCTGAGTGGGATGTGGGTGTTGCATTCTTAAGCTCATGGAAGCTGTTTTGCTTGTACAGGATCCACACAAACTTGAGTACGCCAACACTGTGTCACAGAGGGGAAGGGATTCCTGTGGTCCCACCCCAGCTGAAGATTACTATTCAGTTAATGGTCGGTGAGGAAGGGAGAGACATTGTCTTTAGTGTGCAGACACTGGTGAGCTATGCACACTCCTGTAAACAGCCCTAATGAAGCTCACTGGGATTGAAAACTAGAAAAGACATGACAGTGGGAGGCAGGAGATAGTTGGAGAGAGGAGATGGGTTAGTTGTGAGGAGAGACAAGAGCGAGTAAGGCTGAATGTTCAGAAAGTGTGATCAGAATGCATTAACTACAATATGAAAATGTCATGTAATCCATTATGTGTGACTAATGCATGATAATAATGTTCCTCTTTCTACTTATGACACACACACACACACACACACACACACACACTTAAATCTAGATTCCCTATTTGAGGAAAAAAAACATGTAATACTTGCCTTTTGGAGTCTGGCTTAAATTTCATATAATTTTATTTATAGTTAACTTAGGATTTTTAAAGTATTTTATTTTTGAGACAGTGTTTTGGTGTGTAGTTCAGATAGGCCTGGAATTTGTAGCAATCCTCCTATCTGCCCCTCCTGAGTGCTAGTGTTACAAGTATATACCATTTACTAGTGTTACAAGTATATACCACTTGCTAGTGTTACAAGTATATATCACTGTGCCCTGAAGAATGTTGTATTCTTTTTAAAAATAAAGTTTCCCCATATTTTGTATGTTTTAAAATAGCCAAATATTACATTATTTACAGTAGCAAGAAAATTCCTTTTAATGCTAGACAAGGATAGTCTCAGAGAGATTTTTTTTTTTTATTGGATGATTTATTTACATTTCCTATGTTGTCCCCTTACCCCATCCCCCACCACCCCCTCGGAACCGCCAATCCCCTCGCCTCTCCTCCTTCTTCTCTGTGGATGTAACTCTATCTACCCCCCCCACTCTCACCTCCCCACCCTCAAAATTCCCACCCCCTGGGGCATCCAGCCTTCATGAGGTCAAGGTTCTCTTCTTCCACCTATGCCCAGCAGGGCCCTCCACTTTTACATATTCAGCTGAAGCCCTGGATCCCTCCCTAAGTGCTCCCAGGCTGGTGGTTTAGACCCTGGGAGCTGTGGTTGGTTGGTATTGTTGCTCTCCTCATGGTGCCATAAATCCTTTCAGCTCCTTCAGTCTTCACTCTAACTCCTCTATTGAGAACCCCATGATCAGTTCAATGGCTAGTTGTGAGCATCTGCCTCTGAATATGTCTGACTCTTGAAGGCCTCTGAGGAGATATCCATATCAGGCTCTTATCAGCATGCACTTCCTGTCTTCCACATCAGCATCTACCTTTGGTGATTGCACATGGGATAGATACTCAGGTGGAGTGGTCTTGAGACGGCCCCTCCTTCAGTTTCTGTCCCTCACTTTGTCTCCATATTTGCTCCCTTGAGTATTTTGTTGCTCCTTCTCAATATTCTCAAGAAATATTGCTGGAAAATCATAGTTAATTTTAATTTGCGTGAACTACAATTGAAATTCTTTATGTGAAATACTAACTTCAAGTTGCCTACGAAGGGCTCAATGCAGCATGTTTTGTGTTCAAAATCATGATTTTCTGAAGGGAGTTTGAATAGTGCAAAACTAGAAATGATAGCTCATATCTTAAGTAGAGGAAGTCCAAACTACACCTTTCCCACTTTTTTTTTTTACTTGAAACTAATTTTGTAACATACTGTTTGTTGAACTTCCTCATTTTCGGGTGTTTTCACACTGAATTAGATCTTGGGTGGATTTGTACCCATTGAAGAGAGAATTTATGCAAACCAAAATGTGGAAGTGTTCTCTGGAACAACCTGCCTTGTCAAGGCACAGATGCCGCAAATATGGATGGCTCCTGAAATGGAATCTTTTCCGAGCCAGGGCCTGTAGGATCAAAATGTCAATACATCTTCATGAGTTCAGGCTTTCTCTCTTTCTTTCTTCCTCCCCTCCTCTTTTCAGTTTCTGAGAGAGAAAGAAATCTCACTTTGTTTCTCAGGTGTCTCAAACTCCTTGACTCAAGTGATCCTGTGGCTGGGGGGGACAGTCCTGAGTAGCTGGGACTCCAGACTGTACCACTCTCCTCAATACTCTCCAGACGGGCTGGCCTAGAGTCTGTATGATCCTCGGCAAGCTAGATTTTAGCTTTAGTTCCTTTTTGTTCCTTCACTGTTTACTAGCAGTGCATTCTGGGGATATTGTGCTAACTGCCTCCCCAGTGCTTCCCATCCTATGTAGAGCAGTGCTCTCCCGTTTGCAAAGCTGCTGGAGGTCTGAAGAGGTACAGAGACCAACACTTCCCTTAATGGGGGCCAATACTTCCCCAGTCCTGGGTGAGATGGCCTCTCAGAAGCAGAGGATTTTGCTTCCTCTAAAAGAAAATGTGAGGTTTAAAATGGAGGCTTGACAAGTTCTGAAATAAAATGCCCACTTGATGAGCAGAGGTCTGCCATGATCATGCCTACAGGAGACTTTGGGGATAACAGTCCAGGTAGAAGATAGGTAACTCCAGTGTCTGTCTCCTTTCCTGCAGCAAAGCACAGGTGTCACACAAGGCCTTTCTGCTCACTGGGAGAATGTGACAAGCTGAACTCCCAGGTTAAAGCTGTACCTTCTGCCTTTCGTCTGGAAGTGGGAAGGAAAGCTGGGTCGTGTCTGAGACTGACACAGTGGAACAGACTCTGAACTAAGCAGGCCACAGTTTGTGTTCTGGTTAGCCTCTTGTTTCTTACATTTGAACAGTAGCCAAGTTTCTTTGTTGAGAAAGGAAGGCACTAGGGCCCTGCAGGGAGATGAAGGCTTTGTTGTGTGACCACAGAAGCTAGTTTTGTACTAATTTCCTCTAAGGCTTGTGATGAAGTCAGTAAACCACAGCCTCCAGCATGCTGTGTTCATGCAGCAGCAGTGGCTTCTTGGTGGTGTCTTGGCCATGACACATATTTGACATGCCCTCCCTTAACCCACTCACAGACTCTTGCTCTGCGGCATGGACCAAAGAGAAATTCTGCAGCAGCTACTGAAAGAGGCTCAAAAAAAGAAACTTAACAGTGAGGAGTTTGCCAGTGAATTTCTGGTGAGTTCTGTAATGCTCTTAAGAGTAGTTAAATAAACCGTGTAGCAGGCTGCTGTGGTCTAGCTTGCCTAGTCTCAGTTGCTGTAGGGACATCATGAACATAGAGCTTGGAGTGGAAGGGAGGAAGACGACCTAAAAACATAACCTCTCTGGGTTTTGTTGTATCTGTATGCTCAGGGTTTTCTCCAGGTATGCTGGTTTTAATGTAGGGTTTACTTGTTCTTTTGAGATTAACAATCCTATGGAAGGTATAGACAGATGTATGAGTTATGAGTGCTTTCTGAGCATCTGGAGAAAGCATTTGCATTGTGATTTATGCTTCAGATTACTAATTTTAATTGATACCAAAAAGAAAGAGTAACTTTTCATGTTGAGTGTTATTTTGGGCTTCCCTAAACAATAATATTGGGATAACAGGCTTTTGAAAAACACTAAAGCTATTATTTGTCACTTTTTTTTCTCCTTTCCCTTTTATAACAGGTTGATTATCAGAACAGGCATTTTCTTTCTTTTTTTTCTTCTTTCTTTCTTTCTTTCTTTCTTTCTTTCTTCCTTCCTTCCTTCCTTTTAAACAGTAACTGAGTTTCTTTAACTTATATTGTCTGGGGAAGTGGGCTACGTAGAGTGGGGAGTAGAGATGAGTGAGGGATGTGGAGAGCAAGGCAGCCTGGGAGCAGGTGGACTTGATTATCCAGAACAATCAATCCACATCGAGGGAGTCATAGTTGCCAGTGTAACGAAAGCTGGGCAGGCCATATTCCATCCATGCCAGGCACATCGGATAATGCTTTCTGACATACCTGTCATGCTTTTGGTTTTGGTTTTACTTGGTTTTGTTTGTTTGTTTGTATAGTATGTAGCTCTGACTGGCTTAGAACTCACTATGTAGATCAGGTTTGGCCTTGAACTCAAAGATCCTCCTGCCTCTGCCTCCTGAATGCTGGGATCAAAGGTATGTACTACCACACCAGCCTGTTGTGTTTTAAAATGCTTCTAGTTAGTATGTCAGAAGTGTAAGAATGTTGAGCCTTAGCCCTTTAGCTATGAATTGAGAAAAATGAAGAAAATTAACTTGGTCACCATCCAAATTATCAAGTATTTAACATGTTCCCAAATCACCCTAAATCTTTGTTTTCTAGCTTTAAAAATGAGGATAATAATTTATGTCCTATCTGCCCTCATTTTGGATTATTGTGATGATTATATATCAACAACCATAATAATTAAATGAGAACAAGGTGCTATGGAGGCGCCTAGAGACCCAGTTACTCGGAAAGCTGAGGTGGGTTAAATCTTAAGTTCAAGGCTAGCCCAGGCAACTTAGAGGGACCATGTCTCAAAAAGGGGATCATTCAGTAATATTTACTGAGCACTTACTGTGTACCAACTTTGTTTCTTCACGCTAAGATACAGTAGTAAACAAAATGTCTTTGCTCTTCAGAGCTAGCATTCTAGCACCAGATATTAGACGAGATGTTTTCACTGTCTAGATCTCATGACTAGATTGTACAGCAGGCTAGCGTACAGTGGCCCATCTTCGATGCTATTGTGCCAACTCAACTTGCATAAGGTCACGGTGTTATTAAAATGTTTTCTTTCTGCCACAAGTTCTCAGGGTAGATTAGCCACAGGGCAGGGTTGCCCATGTGTCTGCTTAGATGCAAACATGCCTTTTGACTGTATTATTGAGACATTCTTCAGACAATTTATTAAGCTATAGAGGGGAACGTGAGCTGATAGGCAGTGACAGCTTTGTCTTATTTTGGTTGTATTTTCAAAACAGAGCAGACTATATCTCTAATATTTTAACCACTCATAGAGGTCATTATAGTCTTTTATCAAACTGTGGCAGCCACCTCCTGATTGCTTTCTTTGTTTCTAGCTTTGTTAATTCCCACCTTAGTTAATTTTGTTTCCCACCTTAGTTAATTTTCTTAGACAAGGTCTCACAATGTAGCCATAGCTGGGCTGGAACTCACTATGTAGACCAGACTAGCCTTGAACTCAGAGATCTACCTACTGTTGCCTCTTGAGTGCTGAGATTAAAGATGTACACCACCATGCCAGGCTCCAAAGTGGTCTTTTAATAACATAAATCTGGTTGTATTTTTGTCAGCTTAAGAACTTTTTATAGCTTGTATTTTTTTTAGGGGTTTGTAATTGTGAACTATAATATATATTTGGAAAATTACACAAAATGTGTAAATGTAGTTATAAAAGAACTTTTGCCAATGCAGTCACTGCCCAGATCAAAAAATACAGTACTGTCTGAGAGATTCCCAACTGCCCTTCCACAGCTGGCTTCTCCACCCACCCCACCCACCCGACTCAAGGGTAAATCACTGGCCTCGTTTTATATTAATCACTTCCTTGCCCTTCTACCTCCTTATGTTTAAGAACCGTCTTTTGGGAGGTGATTAAGTGGAACCTCACTGCTCACTGACTCATGTCCTCCAGTGGAAAAACAAGAGTTTCACCCTCAGCTCCACCTAAAGGTTCAACTGAGACACCAGAAAAATAGCTTTGGGAGAGAAGCATTGGCCCAGGGAAATACTGCCATCCAACTGGAAGGTTTCCACTTGACTTCTGCCCACAGTCCACCTGAAGTTCTCGTTGTTTGAGATTTCAGAATGAATTCTATGACATAAAGGCACAACTAAATGCCTTAGTGGCTATTATCATTCAGCATTTATATTTAAAAGTAGATTTCCTGCATAACAACCCCCACAAAACAATCAAACAAACAAACCAAAGACTAAAACCAAAAGGTTCCTTAGCTCAGATTTCAGTCCTGACTTCTTTGTTGTTGTTGAGTTTTTATTGTTGTTTCGTTATGTAGCTCTGGCTTCCCTGGAATTCACTATGTACACCAGGGTGGCCTCAAATTCTCAGAAATCTGCTGCCTCTGCCTCCAATGAGACAGAATTAAAGGCATGTACCACCAAGCATACCCTGCCCCTTGAAAGAAAGATTTGTATTTTGTATGTGTATAAGCACTGCTTTGCCTGCATGTGTATGTTATGCATTTAGTGCCTGCCCAGTGCTTGTGGAGGCCAGAAGATGGAGCTAGATCCCTTGGAACTGGTGTTACAGGGGATAGCGAGCCACGGGGTGGATGCTGAGAACTGAGTCTGGGACCTCAGCAAAAGCAGCAAGGGAGCCGTCTGCTGAGCTGTCTTTCCAGACCCTTCTTTCTTTTTATATTTTTAAAAACCTGTGTGTGTGTGCATATGTGTGTGTTCACACACATGTATGTACCATAGAGAGAGCATGAAAGTCAGAGAACAACCTGGGAGACTGAGTTCTCTTTAGAATGTTCTAAATTACATTTATGTGTTTGTTTAGTCAGCAGGGGATACGATATATATGCCATGGCACATGCGTGGAGGTCAGAGGACACATATCAGTACCTGCCTAGCACACGTGAGGGCCTGAATTCAACTCCCCAGCACCACACACTCACAAGAAAGAAAGCCACACAGCTCACAGTCGTAGAACTAAAAGTTCAAACAATACACTACCTAATATCACAAACTTTGCCCTTGTTACTTGTCAACTCCTGCCTCCATTTGATAGACTGGCCTTAATGCTTTAAACTTTTAAAAATTTAAAATATAACATACATACAATAAATGCTTTAAACATAGGCATCGACTTCATAACTAGTAATAAAGCAGGCACTGATATATGTACTCCCCAGATCAAGAATTAGGATTGTTGGGCTATAGATGTGGGCGCAGATGGTCCATTGACTACATATCATGCAGGAAACTCTGGATTAACCCCCAGGACCCCACAAAACAGGCTTGGTGGTATATACTTGTATTCCCTGCACTTGCACTTGGCAGGACCAGGGGTTCAAGCTTATTCTCAGTCTGGTGTACATGAGATGCCTGGATACACACACACACACACACACACACACACACACACACACACACACACACTGCACAGAGAGCCCCTGAGTGTTCTTCCAAATAATAATGATCTGACCCCCACCCTACCCTCCAAAAAGATAGAAGTTAACACTCTGAATACATTTTGGTTTTTCTGTATTGCTTTATTATACTAAACAATAGTTTTTAAATCTGTTTTTTAACTATATGCAGATAAAATTGTATCAAGTGTCTTGTGTCTTAATCAATTTTGTTGCATGCAGCTGGATCTCATGTTTTTTCTAGTCATTGTGAATTTTGTCAAAATTCCATAGATGTGATTCTTGTTGTGACCATGGAGAGAGTATTGAAAGAAGTCAAGTAGTCACTGGCTGTTCTAATTAGACTGTCCTACCTCTATAATAAAACATGGACCAAACCAACTTGAGGAGGAAAGGGGCTACCTAGATTAAACTTCCATGTCACAATCGTCATTCAGGGAAAGCAGGTCAGGAATTCAAGGCAGGAACTGAAACAGAGGCCAGGGAGGACACTGTTTACTCTCTTGCTCTTGTGGCATACTCAGAACCACCTGCCCAGGAGTGGCCTGCCCATAATGCACTGGGACCTTTCACATCAATCATTAATCAAGAAAATGCCTTTCAGATTTGCCTACAGGCCGATCTGATGAGGTGTTTTCTCAATTAAGACCTTCCCAGATGACTTGAGCTTGTATTAAGTTGACAAAAACTAACCAACACAGCTGGCAACACCCGTTTTGAATCATCACAGCGATTTTTAGCCTTGCTGGCCTTAAAATGTAGTTTCATTATGGCTTTACCCTATCTTGCCCTCCTCCCTTCCTTTCCTTTCTTCTTCCACTCTCCCTTCCTTCCTTCCTTCCTTCCTTCCTTCCTTCCTTCCTTCCTTCCTTCTTTTCTTTTTTTAGTTTTGAGACAGGGTATCACTAAGTTATCCAGCAGACCTTGCAATTCTCCTGTCTCAGTCCCCCAAATAGCTGGATCTCAGGCTTGTATGCCCTGGTCTGGCTGTGATTCTATCTTTATTACACAGATGATCGAATCCAGGACCTTACCTTTGCTAGGCAAAGTTTCTACTACTCAG